TTCTCTTCTTGCTGAAGCAATAACACTGTCCACATATAAACCTGAAAACAAAACATGTACAAGAGTATTAAAAAAAAACAAAAAACATTGATGTATCTTTGAACATAACCATAAGTTGCAGGATAATAAAGTCATTTAGAAGCCAATGCATACTTTCCCGAGACTGAACAAGACCTCATTTATTCTAGAAAGTCAAAATTCCAATTCTGGAAAATAAACTCAAACTTACTTTTTCCAAAAGCCAACAGACGGTAGCTGCTGTACTTTACTTTTACTTTTTTAATCTAGCAGGCATCTGAGTTTGAGTTCTTTGGCCTGTTGATATGGCAAAGAATTCACAGGTTTTTATCAGCTGTATTTTGTTGCAGTACAGTGTTCCCAACAGCTGGGGAGGCAGGTAGGTAGGTACTAAGCAGGTCGTTAAGTGCAAATAAAGAGGTGGTGTGTGATTCGGATAGTGGACGGCACAGAGCAGGCCGGGCAAGCCTAAGCGTGGTCGTGGGAGAGATGTCGAATTTCTGGGATTGATAGGCCACTGCATTAGCTGTGTATCCATTTGGCACAGGTGGTGCATCGGATTGAGCAACCCCGGTTGGTCACGTTCCAGTTGCATATTGTGCATGGGTACATCTCATCAGGTCCAGGGTAGATTTCGACGTCACCGGCCATTATTAACAGGGGACTCAGATCAGCCGGTTCGGCTGAGCCTCCGGACAAAAACCCGGTAGCCTCCGTTCCTGTCTGAATCCAGGGGTTGATTGGCGTTCGGCCTGGAGCTGTGCTTGTTCCGGGGTCTGCAGCACCGCGTAGAGGTCCCAATAATGAATTTGCGACATCTACAGGAACGACCGAGCTGACGCCCTGGCCAACAAGGGAGGCCGCCTCGACCAGTCCAACACTTCAGTCGATCTCGCGTCAGCAAGCTCGTGCATTTCGCGTTACATAATTGCCCACGCATGGGAGAAAGCGCGAGTGCACGACTCCGTCGGGGGAAAGGTGAAGCCACCACCGGAGAGGGACAAAGAGAGAGACCTAACCGTCAGACAGAGAAGAGTGTTATGGCAGCTAAGATGCAACGCGAAGAGCCCCATCCTGCAGGCGTATCTCCATGCAATAGGCTCCGGTCCCAATGATTCCTACCTGGCGTGTGGCAAAAGTCCTGACGACCTGCAGCACGCACTGTATGAGTGTGTGAGTGGCCACACTGTATGAGTGCCCGCGGGGGGGAGCACATCGAGGCCCACTTATGGAGAACAACGCAAGACCGGGCCCAGATGTACTCTGGACGAGGCCACAAGAGGGTGCCTCTTACTGGAGGCCAGCCACAGGAAGGAAGGAAAGAAGGTACTGTGTGACAGTTTCATCCTGGCAATCACACAGCAGCAGCAGCAGCAGCAGCAGCAGCAGCAGCAGGCAGCAGGGGTATCCTGCAGATCCTGTTCAAGCAGGAATTCAGTGGAATGTGCTCGTAGGCAGTAGATAGAGACCTGTCTTCTACTCAGGACAGTTAGTGCATCTTTCGCGCAGTAGCTAACCAGCTGTCTGGAAAGGTTCAGGCTCTCCTCAATAGTGACGCAGAGATCCGGCCACCAGAATTTTATAATACACAGATAATGAACTTGTAGGAACATTAAAAATTCCTTTACTAACTTTAAGAAAGACAGTCCATTTGTGTAAAAACAAGATTTCCTATTTACAAGTATTAGTGAGGTATGAAACGCTTAGAGACTTTCTTCGCCTTTTTTTTTTCCAAAATGGGCACAGCACATATGAAGAAAGCTTGTTACAAAAAGAAACCCCAAACTATACTGACATTTACAGGTCCCCTCTAGGTCACACACCTTCAGGCAAAATTTTCCACACATTCATCACAGCCAGCAGATTGTTGATGTCCGAGTCTATGCTTTCTCCAACACCGGGGTACTGAAGAAAAGAAACACAAAATCTTGCATTATACTGGTATTTCCCCAACAGGGAAAAGTATACAGCAATGTTTAATATATGTATCAGGATGCAGTGGAATCAGGCACTCGTCAATTTTTGGGCATGTGGAGTTATTGGTATCATCTGAAAGCTTATTTATTTGTTTTGTTTTCAATAAAAAAAAGGATGCATTTATCTTGAGTCAAGATATTTGCGATTGAAGGGGGTGAGGTCACCTCGTTTCAGTGGTGGAATGAGCGAGAAAATGGCCGCCAAAGTTTGGCAACTCCAATAGCTGAAGTCCTTAACACTTTGCCGCCTCATCTCGCCGATTGGCGATGTTTACAACCCAATTTCTTTGGATTTTCCCCAAAATATGATGGCAAAGTGTTAAAAACTGAAAAATGACACATTCTGTGCCTTTTTTTAAACCAACATTTTTCGGATAAATTCATATGGAAATATGTTTTTGTGTGGACATAAATGGGTTTGAGCAAAAAAAAAAACCCAACAACATCGGGAAAAAAATTGCCTAACTGGGAGAAAAATGCCTGTTTCTACTATTTCTTTATTTTGCCGAGCGCCAGATTTCACCGCAATGCCTCACATATCAAGGTAAACAAAAAAGGGATGCTAGATTCAATGAACCCCATTCCTTTTCTCCCCCTGAGTACATCCATGTCTGACAGTAAAACAGAACGGTAAAAGAGTGATGAAAGAAATGTTGCCTCCGAGTCAGGTATAGCTAAGGATACCGATGCTAAACTTAGGACAAGGGTACTATGGTCTTTTGCGTCTTGACAGATGATCTTAAAGCAGTATGCATGATGCAAATTTACTTGGAGAGTGAATATAGAGGCAGCAGACAGCCAAGGTACTACTACTCTTCCTTTAGATCTTTACTTCCTTGATATGCTCTCCACAGGAAATACTTTAACAGTATGAATGGAATCAAAGAAGGTGTAAGGCTGTGTCTTATTATATTACAGGTGTGGTAGGGCCATTTAAAGAAACAAATTTATTTTGTCTGGGTGAGAGCGTAACAGCCTACTCTTCTACAATGTTCAACGACAAAGGGATCTTAAAAACTCACAACATGCCCACAGGACCTAAAGGGTTGGGTTTTTTTCATCCTTATCTGACAAGACTAGGTATTCGATTTTACCTTCATTATGATCAAAGGTATGGAGGAAGAACAAAATTGAGGGGGTGGGGATTTATTTAACCTGAGAAAGAGAGACGATTAAATGAAAAAGAGGAGGGAAGGGGATTTATTTAACCTGAGAAAGAGAGACGATTAAATGAAAAAGAGGAGGGAAGGGGATTTATTTAACCTGAGAAAGAGAGAAGATTAAATGAAAAAGAGGAGGGAAGAGTAAAAGTAGTAGAAGATGACAAAGAAAAAGGAAGAAGATAAAACGGGACAAGCTGGCACAGACAAGGATAAATAGCTTAAATAAAATAAAAACTTCAGAGAGTCTTTTCACCTGAATCTTCATCGCCACATCCATGCCATTGGTCAAAGTCCCTTTGTGGACTTGTCCTATAGAAGCAGCTGCAAAAGGTTTATCATCAAAGCTGGACATCTTTTCCTGCCAGTCAGAACCAAGCTCTTTGTTCAGTGCTTTCTGCAACAAAGAAACAACAGAACAAATCCCTTATTTTTCTTACAATAAATTATACACACATTCTTTCAAAGAAACATAAACTTATCATTAACCCTATCCGTACGCCCGGGGGTCATTTTGTACCTGCCGGAGTTGTATTTTTCACATTTTAGAATACTTCTAGCACGAAGATCTCTTTGAAATTTTCAGCATTTCTCAAAAAATCATTTTGACAGACTGCTAAGCAAAGCATACGGATCGGATTAACGAGTGAATATCCTCTTTGAAAGTGGTGGCACAGAGTTCCCCACATCGTATGGATACGAAGTAAAACACAACGTACGGATAGGGTTAAAAGAGGTCATTGGTTTCATCACCCACCACACTTTAAAAGTATTCAATGTACTCGAAAGTTGAGTACATACCATACTGTAAAACTGGGTCAGAAAAACACCAACTTATTTCGGGGCATTTTGTATAGTGTTCTTAACATCCTACGATCTTGTTGATTCAGACATTCAACTTTGCCGATTCCAAGATTTCGATGAAAACAAGATAAAAAAAACATGTGCACTTTAGATTGATAATGCAACAGAATGAATTGTATAAATGTTTCAGGTTGGTATACTAGGAATGCAGCAAATATTAGCTTAATTCTGAGACCCTTTCAGATTTCCAAATTAAAAGGAGTTGAATTGTTAATAACAATATTTTCTTTACTTCAAGGGCATTGTAAGATAGTAGAAGTAGCCAGAGACAAAATGTCTACACCAAGTCAGAATAAGTCTATTGATGCAAACGTAACTATCTACATGATCAATAACTCATAAGTGTGTCTATTTTGGATAGTTGTCTTGCAACATTTCGTTACCTACCCTGACCAGTCATGTACCAGGTGTGTCACATTAATAAATCACCAAGACAGCAGAGCAGAGCTGAACCTTCATGGGCGAATGTTATTTTCTTTTAGTTTTAGTACAGGTTTTACGGCACTCGCAACTGCATAAGGTTATATGAGCGCCATGTTATTTTCTGCTCTCGCCAAAAATTGTTCAATCCTATAAAACAGGAATTAAGTTCTATTTCTTTTTCTCTTTCCATAGTTACATAAAATTATTCTTTAAAACCATCATATATGCACCTGGACAACTAAAAACCTCAGACTTACATTCATTTGCCAGGAAGGCATGAAATCTGCACTCTGCCTCACCCTCTCAAAGATCTGTTGTAACTGTGGGTTCATGAAAGAGTTATCTGTGGGGGGCAAAAGAAAAAAGAAAAAAAAGTTACTGAGATAAATCTTCAACAACATGGATAATAATTTAATAGAGTGATCAATAAATAAAAGCATAAAAGCGCTTTTTCAGTCCATGTTATCAGCATCAAACCCTCTACAAACTTTCCCCTTTCCAAAGACTTCATGCGGGTCTACTCCTAAAATCAACTGAAAGTGTTACGTTCATGTTTTGAAATTTGAAAAAAACACCTGACTGATAATCAATGAAGACGTCAAAGTATTAAATTCAGCTTCGAGAAAAACTGCAACATATGACAGCACAAAATAGGAAATGTCCCTTTTTATTTTATCCTGCCACCATCAATAGATAATTCTTATCAAACTGACAACAAACTACCATATAAAAGGAATCATGAGACAATAATGAAGATCATACAACCCTCACAACAACAATAAAATTATCAAGAACTAAGACCTTCCTCTTTTTGCTCCACTATAACTACATCCCCTTCTTCCCACTCCAAATAACTAACTATTATCAAAAAAAAAGAATAGCGCGCTCATATAACCTTATGCAGTTGCGAGCGTCGTAAAACACTTACCAAAAAAAAAAAAATTTTTAATCGAGAATAAATATACAAAAAGTCAATTGATCAGAAATTTGGTTCACTTTAGCCAAAGAGAAGCACACCTACATGACAGCTATCACAGAGAGCTAAGACGGAAAAAAATGCAAGTAGAGCAACAGTGGGATAATAAAGAAGTAAAAACCTGCAAGCGACACCCTCCAACCACATAGACAGATCCAACAGAAGAACACAGAAGAAGTAAGATATACAGAGCATTTGCCAACTCACAGAACAATTCAAACAAACCATGAAGTGAGCACAAACAAATCACAACCTCAGTGCTTTCTTGTCATATAATCTCCTTTTTTTTACAGTGAAAATGTGACTTCTTCTTAAGCTCACTCTTTGTTATGAACTGTTTTCACTGTTATTTAAAATGGAGATACAACAAGAAAGCGCTGAGGTCGCGAAATGCATTGCAGTATTGGAATCAGAAGTGAGAAAAATTACCTTGAATACTCAGCATTTGTCCCAGTTTAAGTGCTGCTCCCCGAACTCTGCAAAGTGTATTGACGATACGTTCTGCATTGGCTTCTGTGAGAAAAGGGCTGGAATCCATGATTCCTGCACCCGCACCTGAAGGGAGGCAATGGAACAATATGAAAAATATTCATGTTTCCATCTTACTGCAGTCATATACTGCACATCTAAAAGGAAAATTGACAAATTGTAAAACTAAATGAATAAGTTGACCACGTGCAGTGCTTGTTAACCCTTTTTACAACTTTTTGCCTCCTGTAAGAAGCTGAACTTTTCGAACCACACGCATACATGTACTTCCATGTTAATTAATTCATTGAATTAATTTAAATAAAACCCATCACTGTGTGTCGTCATGGTGAAATCGGGTGTCATCAAAATAATGAAAATGAAGAAATAACATTTTTCCACCCATTTGACAATTTGTTTTGATCAAGTTACAAAAAGATTAAAGAAAATTCTCAAAATAACGCCATGCCCTCACCTTCTTCTTTCAAACCCAACGACCTCCTCGTGACTTCAGCCAATGCTCCAACACCGAGCCCAGCTGCCAAACCTTGCAAACAGAGTAGTAAATACAAACAAATTTGAGAGCTTTCCTGAGAGGAGTGTATTTACCCACTTCAAAATACGTCATCAAACTCGTGCCACAATTTCGAGTTTGATATTTTGAATAAAGCAAAGCCTATGGGTACAATAATATTCATTTAGTATAAGGGGGAAAAAAGCAAGACAGAAACAACAGAGAGAGAGAGAGCAAAGAAAAGGGACCAACCAAGGCCACTTTCAATTCGCACACATTTCACAATTGGCCATGTCATAATGTGAGAATTACAGTTGTAAGATAAAAAATATTAACGATAAATAATTTCTTCAGAATCTATAGGTACAGTTCGGAACGGATAACTAACAAAAAGGGGATTGACAAATATGTGTTCAAAACATTCGTAATTCAGGTAAACCTATAAAACAAAAAAATTAGAGATACTGAAGAAAATCAGAAAAAGTTCTGTGACGCTACAAAGGACAGAAAAAGACTGTAGAAGATCAGTCACAAATAGTTGTTTGAGTGATGACATGTTTCTTTTTTAACCTGTTCAACAATCCTGTAGTAATGCATGTAAAGTCAAGGGTGGTTGGCGGGCGCTCTGATGTGGTTTGCTCCTTCTTTCCTATCAAACTTCTATCGTCCTTATCTCCCCTCCTTTTATTTTGTGTTTGTTACTCTCTTGTAACACCTCTAATCTTCGGCACTTATATGACCTTATTGTGTTGAAAATGCCGTAAAACTCTTACTAAAACGAAGACAAGGCCAAGTTCTTTAGAGATATTATCTTGCGGGAACATGAGAGACCACGACAGAAGAAAAAATGACGACATCTCAGAGCCAAAGATTTACAAGGGAGAACATTTAGAGGACATGAGAGAGCAAGACCAGCATACCTCCATAACTCATCAATCTGCTGATTCTGGTGGCTGGAACTTTTCTCTCTCTTGCCCGTTCACTCAGCTACAAAACAAACAAAAAATCAAAAAAAGAGATTTCATTGCAGTTTCAACTCAAACCAATCACGTCTTAATACAGTTGACTTTAATAATGTATTATGAAATAACCCAAGAAGCTAAATTTTTCCTTCTTATTTTGAGTCTCAAAAAAAGCAGAATTTGACATCCTAAGTGTGTGAAACACCAACTACTACTAATATCTCCCTACACCTCAAAAGTACCAAAAACTGACCCAGCTCAGCCAAAGCCATTTCAGCCAGCTGACCCTTTGACCCTGATGAGATTAGAAAAAAGGTAGGGAACCTCTGGAAACTAAATTTCAGTGCCGGTATCCCGTCGGGAGCACCAACATTATGTTAGGTCCAGATCATACAGCCCCTGCTGGATGAACATTATTAGTTGGGGTTTATTTTTCCCCAACATATACTTATGAAAGAACTCCCAGTAAAAGAACCCTGTTTTCGGAAATAGCCGAAAAATAATATAACGTCAAGATCATCATAAAGGAATGCGTTCAAGCCACTGCTGGCGGCTCACCAGCACAGGTGTTCCCACTGCAAGCCGCTGGAAGCAGCTTGCCGGAGATAAGGAGTTAATACTAAGGCAAAATTCTAATACCTTTTGTTCTGGTGGTAACTGATACTTTCTAGGTGTAACTGGAATGCTGCCCAGGTTGGGTGTCAATCCTTCAGCTGCAGCTTTCACAGCATTTATACTTGGTTTTGAAGCTGAGAAAAAAAAAGGAGGAAAAGTTAGACAAAAGGATCAGATATTATTTCATCCGGTTGTTTCATTTCTTGGCAGGTTTGGCAGAAGTTGTTTGGTATTTAAAGCCAATGAAGGTTAAAAAAGTAAGTGTATGGGGTTAACGCCCCTATCAACACTATTAGATTATTCAAGAGGCAGGACCTCCAAATTTAACGTCTGTCTCTAATAGGACCTAGCCAAATGGGTTGAGGACCTTGAAAACTTCACAAAACAACCAGAGTCTAAGAATGCCCAGTTTTGAATTGGGATCTAATGGTGTATTTTCAATCTGAAGTGATTTTTTCGTCTGTGAATTTTTTAATTTTTAGTTCTGATAGTTAACAGATCCAAACTGACAGAACTTCTCAACCCATGACACCAAAGAAGACCTTGAGGGCACTTTTGTATTCTTCCCTTCCTATGCCTTGTGCAGGACTTACAAAACGTCAGGGATGGTGAATTGAATTGGTAAAGAGGTCATGTGTGTTCTGATACAAAACGCTTTCTGCACTTTATACTTGACTAAACTGAATCATGATCTCAGAAGGCAAAGAAAAACCTGAGAAATACAAAATCTACAAACGTCTGTTGGCCTGTTTCATTGCTGTAGCTTGAAATATGGTTCAATCATTGCCCCTTTTAGTGGTAGGCCTAACGCAAACTGGT